AAAAAAAAAAAAAAAAAAAAGGAAGGAAATGCAGAAAAATAAAGTGAACAATTTCTGGCTCAGGGTCACATCGAAATTCTTTACCAAATTAAAAATAATAATAATTATTATTATTATTATTATTATTATTTATTATTACTATAATTTTTATTTTTATTTTTATTTCTTTTTCTTTTTGGCCCGGGCGGGCAAGTGGACCCGGGCCACTCTGGTAGCCTAGATGTGAGCGCAGTTACTGCCGGACCCGTATGCTTTTTGGCCCGGGCGGGCAAGTGGACACGGGCCACTCTGGTAGCCTAGATGTGAGCGCAGTTACTGCCGGACCCGTATGCATCTGGCCGCAATTCCGTCCATAAGCAAGTGAGAAATGTGCTAGTGCGAGTGTATGCCCTTACACACTTGAGCAACGATAACGAGCATAAAGGATGAAGAAAGTCCATGATTGGTCACCTACGTTGTCGACAGGCGAATAGGACTTGATGTACCAATAGTACTCCTCCTCAGCCGGGTTTCCCCACTCCTACAGTCCGCCGAAGGGCATATACAATCCACCAAGTGTGCCAACAGGACAGCATTCCACCATCACACAATTACAAGTCAAATGAGACTCCCAAGATTAAAAAACTCTTTACCAAGGAATGATAGACATACAGAACCATGCACACATCAGCCCACAAAGCATCACAAGAAATGCCTTGCACTTGCAGGCTGCAGGCACATGCAACGCCTGGCACATGCGTGCTTATTATACTCCCGCGCAAAAGCAGCATGGTGAGCACACACATGAAATGCACCAAAAAACAAAACTCACAATAATACTGTAATACTTCAGAGTTAGTTTAGGGTTTAAAGTTTAGGGTGTAGGGTTTAGGGTTTAAAGTTCAGGGTTTAAACTTCAGGGCTTAGGGTTTAGGGTTTAAAGTTCGAAGTCGGAAAAAAAAAACAGTTAAGCACAGAGAGAACAGTGAACATACTACTCATTCAGCAGTGCTTGGCGCGATTATACAGGTGCGGCAAGAGCAGGCACTTGTGTGCCAAGTGTGCGGGCCGCCATCGCGGGCCAATACATTTGAGGTCTGACACATGAGTGCTTCCCCAGACAGATCAGGCAGGTTTCATGCACGTCCGCAGCGTTCTAGAAAATGTGAAGTTGCTTAACGAAGCCTCAAAGAAGATCGCAAAAACGTGTATGAAAGGAGCAATCCCTGTCTCTTATACACATCTAGATGTGTATAAGAGACAGCACACACACACACACACACATTCTCTCCCGCCGCCTTCCCTTGCCTCATCCCTTGCACAGATGGCATACTGCAACCTCCATCACGAACAGTAGTACTGTCAGATTGCACTGAACAGTGAACACAGACCGATGTCCAGGTGCATGATCTTCACCTGAACGTACACAGACCCAGGCGCATTATGACAGGCTGGGTTCAGGAATTTGGGAGACAAGCGGGCTTCTCCTCTCCTTGCCGTCATTATTTTCCCTAATTCATTTTTTATCGTCATTATTAACAAGCATGGGTCTAAGTTTGCATGCGGATATAACCATAGCATAGCATAGCCACAGCACAGCATAGCATTGCATAGCATTGCATAGCATACCATAACATACCATTGCATACCATAGCATAGCACAGCATAGCACAGCATAGCACTGCATAGCATAGCATTGCATTGCATAGCACAGCATAGCATTGCATAGCATAGCAGAGCATAACACTGCATAGCATAGCACTGCATAGCATAGCATAGCATAGCATAGCACAGCATAGCACAGCATAGCAGCATAGCATAGCATAGCATAGCACAGCATAGCACAAGAAGAACAAACCATACCTTCCTGTCTTGGAGAAGTGCCCAGCCCCAAGGTCCACCTTGAGTAACATAGTGTTCTGGTCAGTTTTCATGTCCCTCAACTTTGCAACCCATTTCGCTGGCTCCCAGTATCCGACACGCGGGTCTGCATGGCGAGGCGATCAGTCAAAGTGCATGCAACCAGTTCCCGAACAGTCAAAGTCAAAGTCAAAGTGCAGATGTAATACAGTATTAACAATGATTGTGCAAGGAAGATGAGCAATAGCGAACTTCAGCAATCAAACAGCATCATACATACGAGTCCAGATAGTCGTGACCTCGAACCAACAGCAGAATTGCATCACGA